AGGAAATTTACACCATCTTCAAGACTATGTTCCTAATTCAATGGGCAAAAAAGAAAAAGCCACAACTTGAGACAGTGAGAAAGGAAGCTGTGTCCAGGTTTCAATTAGAGAAAGAATTGAAGGGACATTCAGTGAAGAGCTTCAGATAAAGGGGATTTGGTGGGTTCTAATCCATGAATTCCAGAGGGCACAAGGGTTAGGAGAGTCCTGAAAGGGTGGGAGATTGGGCCAGATGAGGCAACATTCACTGCCATATGAACATGGCTCTAGGGCATGATGGGATTAATCCTGTGGTCTCCTAGGGCAAGAAGTGTAAATCAGTTCTCTTTGATCAGCCTCTCAGTACTGATCTCTTAGTTTGTGAAGAGAGGTGAGTGGTACTGAGGCTCATGGTAATTATCTTTTTGAGAATATAAGGAGCTCTGGGGGCTTCCTTTTCAAACGTCTATGAATGGCATTACAGCTGGAAAAGGGACAGGTCTTCCTGGAGCCCATGGCTCTATGTAGACTTCTCTTAAATCCTGCTACTAGGGAAGGCATTACATATGGAAGATGGAGGGGAGAAAGGCAAGCCCTATGTGAGATCTTACGAAGGCTTGAACAAAGGCTGTGATAACAAGAATCCAGAGGGAGACATAGAGATCGTGAGATCCCTTGTGGACGCAGAGTGCCTTGGAGCTGTTCTCTCATTATGAAGTTCTCTTCTTGACCACAGGACTCATTCAGAAGTGGTGGCCAAGGCTAGAGCTACAGCCTGTAATTATAACCTTGAAATTAAGTCCATAGTTAAGGGAATTTCCAAACTCTGATATGAACCTCTAACTAGTCTCAGGGAAATCTGCATTCTCATGGTCACAGAATTATTTTATTCTCATACTCCCCAAATATATCTACTTCTTAATTATCCAAACTAAGTAATCTCAAGAAGACATGGGTTATCTACAAAATAAGTGTCAAATTTATCTCCTTTGAGAAAAACTATTGCATTGGTTGTTGATTCATCTTCTTTACTTGACAGTTCTTTTGCCAGAACAATGACAAGAGGCAACATAAAGAAGAGAAGAAAAAAGAAAAACAAAAAACAAAAAACTGACCAATATGGGTATTGATTGTTCTATATACATTTTTCATTAAATTTTCCCAACAACCCTATGAAGTTACTATTTCATACTCATTACAGAGATGAGGAAACAGATTATCAGAGGAATTTGAAATTTTCCCCAAGGAGATGTCAGAAAAGCAGCAGAGCTGATTAAAACCTGGAGTTATCAGATGTGAAAACACTTGCTCTTTTAACCACATACCAACCAAGAATACTAGCTAAGCCAACTGCACGTTCCTTTCCCAAATAACCAAGCAAGCGACTAATAGATAAAGATTATTTACTCTGGGTAAAATGCTGTGCTGGGATCTATGAGAAATACAGAGATAAATAAAGCACAGTCTCTATTCCACAGTATGAACTACCAATTTGGCAGACAACCTGTTTGCGTAGAGGTGCAAAAAGTTAAATAATTCCAGAGGACAAAGGTGGAGTCATTATCACTGCTCTGAGTATCATGTATGGTTGAATTTGCTCAAGTGAAAGAAAATGTGATGTAATATTAATGTAACAAAGCCAATTTTTTCTCATTTTGACTATTTAAAAAATTTTGAAACTCTGATAACATTTCAGTACGTTACTTTTTGTCTCTTCAATACATCGGTTTTGGTCTTGTTTTGTTTTGTTCTTGCAAAATTGAGTTCTTGATGCGTATATAGTTTCACATCCTCTTGTTTTTTTCAGTTAAACTAGATAATGTAAGAAATTTCCTGTGTTAGTGGCAGTTCTTTATACACATAACGATTAATGACATAGTAATCATAATACAAGGAACTGAAGAGAGAGGAGGGCCTCTCAGGCACAGGAGGCAACGCAATCCAGAATGAGGATTCACTTTGGGCCAAGTCAGAGTTGGCAAGGTTCCAAGCGGTCCTGGGGAGGGGTTAACTAGATGAGTCAGCAGAGGCCACATGACATAACTTCTGCCCTGTCAGTCCACTGGACTATTTGGGCCTGCCACCTGATTTGTGTCCCTTTCCAAAGGACTCTCTGTGGGTCAAGCCAGTGGATGCCAAAGCAAGGTCATTCAAGCATCAGAGAATATATTTCCAGAAGCAGATCTGTTTACTAACTGGGAAGGCATCCACTATAACAGAGGGAACAAATGAGTTTTTCTTTACAAACCTGTCCCTGACCCTTGCTAAAAGCAAGGGTTCCCACTTTCCTTGGCAAGCTTTTTCCTGCTCTAAAGCCAAGTACAGCTGAGCAGGCAGGGAGCGTATCCTCACTGGCTGTGCAAGGCTGGTGGCTGAGGTCACACATGCCATTGTAGAATGGAAGTTTGGGGATATATGAATAAAGCAGCACCATTATCTAAAATCTGGATGACTTTTACAGTGTTGTGTTTGAGAAAGTGGTAGCTAGGTGAAAATTCAACATTATAGTACAGAAGCAGCAATTTGAGGACTGAACTGCTTGACAGTCCTTGCTGCCACTACAAAGCAAAATCTTGGTGCTAAACAGAAACTGACTTTCAGCTGAGGTCAGTGGAGGAGCAAGATTACTGGGGGAATCTTATTTTTTTGTAATACGTTATTCTTTCCTTCAAGCCCTGATCCTTTATGGAGTCTGATATTTCGTGAATGTTGTTGAGCATGATTTTGGAGGTTTCCTCCTCGTGAGATTTTGTACTGTCAGAGTTGATGCTTTTATTATAATTCACACATACAAGATACAAGGCATTACCAAAGAGAACTTTTTTTTTACTCAAAAATTAAACAACTAAAAATTAAATGTAGTTTCTAAACTTTATTTTGCCATGTTATGAATTCTAGCATATGAAATATTTTGTAAATTTTAGAAATATAATCATCTCTATGATTTTTGTCTTATGTTATCATAGAAATTTTTATAAACATTTATTTGCTCCCAGAAGATATTCCTAAAGTTAATTTTCTAAAGTTAGCTGGCTAAAAGACCTACCATTAGTATAGATATTAACCATCCACCCTTTGCCTTAAATTTTAATTAATTGAGATTTCTTAATAATTGCTGTTTTAAACATAAAATTAACAGTCATCACAATTAATTTTTGCAGTAATTTATTATTGCAACAGTAATTGTATATTTGTACTTCAACTGAATGACAGAATTTTAATATATAAATCATATAGGAAGACCCTTATTGACAATTGCACCTGGAATGCTCATCTGTAATTAAATGAAAATATTCAAATGTTTATAATAAATCTGAACAACTTGACTTGTTACAATGCTGATTAGAAATGATTGTCTACATGTCATGTGATCAGTGATTATGCATAAGTTTAGGGATGCAAGACATGCTGCTGAAGTAGGTATTTGACTATTCGGTCATTTCTCTAAACTTGAAGAATAAACTAATGCAATTTCAAGTAGATGCCATGGAAGGAATTCAGTCACGGTTTAGTGGTTTTGAACTCTAGCTTTGCTACTTTAGTTTTGTACATATTTATTTAGCACCTACTATATGCTGAGAATTCAATCAAATACTGACACATCAACTAGTAAGAAGGAGGCCTTTGTTCTCTATGTGCTGATAGTCTGGGAAGTTTACACAATTTACACAGCTTCTCTAAACTTCTGTCTCCTTTGCTACTCTGTGAGCCTCACAACTGTATTAATAAATGTCAAATGGGATGATGGGGACAGACTGTATTTCTTGTGCCATGTAAATAATGTATTTATTAATATCCCAATTGTCCCAACCATCTTACAGGGCAGATAGTGCAGCTTAATTGTCATGGGAACATGCTTAGAGTCCAGAGCCTGGGTTTGAATCCTGGTTGTTGTGTGACTTTGGGTAAGCAATTTAACCCCACTGCTCTTAGATTTACTACAAAATTGTGACAGTTAGATTACTTCCGGACTTCCCTGGTGGTGCAGCGGTTAAGAATCCGCCTGCCAATGCAGGGGACACGGGTTTGAGCCCTGGTCCGGGAAGATCCCACATGCTGCAGAACAACTAAGCCCGTGCACCACAACGACTGAGCCTGCGCTCTAGGGTCCGTGAGCCACAACTACTGAGCCCACGCGCCGCAACTACTGAAGTCTGCACACCTAGAGCCCGTGCTCCACAAGAGAAGCCACCACAATGAGAAGCCCGCGCACCGCAACGAAGAGTAGCCCCTGCTCGCGGCAACTAGAGAAAGCCCGCGCACAGCAACAAAGACCCAGTGCAGCCAAAAATAAATAAATAAATTCATTTAAAAAAGCAATTAGATTACTTCCTTCATTGACAATTAAATTAAATAACGGATTATGGAATTCAGCATAGAATCTAGCACATAATAAGTATTCTGCTGAGGTTAACAGTTATTAAAATTCAGTGCAATTGATCCCCAATTAAAAATAAGGGAATGCAGAGAGGTTATATAATTTATTCAAGGCCACACAATAGATTGCAGAGATGGGACTCAGCCAAAGCCCTTATTTTTTACATTTTGGGCCTCTAAACATATTGTTATAGATGTAACTGTTGGATGAATTTGAAGGATACTTATTATGTTAATCAATGCTTTTAAACTTTCTCCTTGGCTGGGTAGGTCCTCCATCCAGTTTCTTTGCTTGCCATCCACATCCCAGACCACCAGATTGAATCCTCCAGGGTGTGGATGTGGCCTGGTGAAGGGGGAGACCACCTTAGTCCTTGGTCTCCAGCTGCCTCTCCACTGAGAAAGAAACAGTTATCTCATTGAGACAGGGACCTTGCTTGGGTAGGTGAGCCAGCCTCCCAAAAATTGTAAAGCTGGGTCCACTCATTGAATTGTGAATCCTGTTCTCTCCCTCTCACTGAGCCAAGCCTGAAAGCTGAGCTCTTTGTGTCTAATCTGTGTGTGTGTGTGTGTGTGTGTGTTTTTAATTATCTTGTTGAATTACTCACTTAAAGATGGCAGAGAAGTCTCAAGGAGAGCAGGAAAAGAGCAGGAGAGACATCCGGAGGTCCACCAAGAGGACATGGGCTCCCCTGGATGAGCAGCTGCCCCCTGGCTCTGAGGAGAAGAGCCACAGTCTCACCGCCCCCATGCTGGGTGAGAACGGGCCCTCAGGGCTATTTGAATCCAACCTGCCGTGAGTGGTGAGGGATATGGGGGTTTGGGGCTGGGGGCAAATGATTTTGGAACAAAGACTTGACTTTGAAGATACCAGTATTCCTGGCATGATACCAGAAACTTCTGTGAAATGGGCACATCTGACTTCCCCTACAGACACCTAAGACACAGACCTTTTTGATGGAAACAGACCAACTGACGAATGAACTCTGCTTCCTTTCCACTCCAAGATCCCCTCATCCTAAGTCCCCAGGATCATAAAGCTATGTGGAGTCCTTGCCAGAGACATGAAGCTTCGTAGGACATCAAACATTTTATTGAAAGGCTTTTATTTGCTGGGTCTTGCACAAGGTGTTGATAATAATTTTAATTGTTTAAAGGGTAATAAGTAAGAAAACACTTCTCCCTTCACTGTGATTTTTTTGTTTGTTTGATTTTTTATGATGTAACTGTTTGATGGCTTTTCTTCTTTGCCCACCAATTTATTCTATCCCTTCACAGTATCTCAGTTGAAGACTAAGCACCTCCCATGTCCACTTGGCCTTTTTGGTTCACCAGACACCTTGTGAGGGGGCTAATTCAGTTACCTCACTGCTTCGTAGGATAAAGTCAAAGAAAATAAGCCCAGAGTAACCTGTAACCAACCAGAATGGAAACAAATATTTACAGGAAAACTACTTTTATATCCTTTCCTTTTTGCCTGTTGACTATTTGTTGAGCCAGTGGTAAAGATCCACCTTAAAAGACTGGATGCCTTTTTAACACAGGGTGCCTTTGGCAATTCTGGGACTGTAGTGCAATTTGCCCCTGGAATGAATGCAAATTTGGTTTCTAACCTGGCAGAGAACTCCTTGCAAATGAACATCACTGGCTAGCTGCCTTATGTAAATGTGATTCAGTAAGGAGAGGCTCCATGTGATTTATATCCAACAAGAGAAAGGCAAAAGTCTCCTATGCTTTTTCACCCTTTGTATTCACACCAGGTAATTTAAAAATTATTCTAACATCTCTTGCTCTTTGGTGATTTTTTTTTTTTTTCCTTTTCACATTTTTTTCTTTCTCTCTTTTTTTTAAGTTAGTCCTTTGGCAAGTTTACACTTCATTTTCAGGAAAAGCTGATTATGGAAAACCGGAAGTTTTGCCTTGGGGAAAAAATGAATATGCTTATAGAAACATGTGACTAAATACTAGGAACCAGACCTATTACGTGGTGGCTGAATAACGGGGTGGGATCACTTTAGCTGGTTATGCTTTGACTAACTGGTCTGTTTCTCATTAGTAGAAGATTCCAAGCAAGAAAGTATTCAGCACTGGCTGGACTCTGGATTCTTGTAAGTGTTTCTTTATGCCCTTACACATCCTTCTTGCAAAGATCCATGAAAACAGTATGGGTAATCCTTCTGGGACAGGTGTGACATGTAGGGATTTTCATTTTAACTGGGTGTTTGAAGGATTACTCTATTATTACAAAAGTTATATCTCGGTTTAAAAGTACAAAATAGAGGGGCTTCCCTGGTGGCACAGTCGTTGGGAGTCTGCCTGCCGATGCGGGGGACGCGCGTTCGTGCCCCGGTCGGAGAGAATCCCACATGCCACGGAGCGGCTGGGCCCGTGAGCCATGGCCGCTGGGCCTGCGCGTCCAGAGCCTGTGCTCCGCAGCGGGAGGGGCCGCAGATGCGAGAGATCCGCGTACCGCAAAAAAAAAAAGTACAAAATAGAATAATATTATTTCAGCCCCCGGCTGTTCATTGGTTTCCAAAAGTCCTCTTATAATAAAGCCTAACTGCATAACTCTGTTTAATTAAGGAGCAATTTAGCATAATTTATTTACACACATTGTCTGACTCACAATACTTTTGTTTCTTTATAGTGTCTCTGTAAATGAAAACCTTCAGCCAGCCATCAACCCCATTGGTAAGACGAGAGAACCCAGAAGTAGTTATGCTTTGTGGACCTGAGTAGGAGATGTATTAAAATGTTTGTGTGAATAAAATCTAAAAATGAGAATTATCAGAGGTTCCTAGAAATGGAAAAAAAATCTCAGAAACCATTCAGCTCAATCACTTTCTTTAATATTTAAGGCAAGCTCAGAACGGATAGGTGTTATCCAGCAGCAGGTTGGGGGCTAGAAACAAGGACTCTTGCCATATCATTAGCTCAGATTCTAACAGAAAACGCACTGGGTCTGTGAAGACATTTTGCAAGGATGTAATTATGGAAATGAAAATGAAATTGTTTAATTTTTCCTCACACTGTATCGTACTTTTATTTCTAAATCTAGTTTCTTTCTATTCTTCAGTCTTAAAATTATATCCTCTCTTTCTAATGATGCATTTGTTCTCAAAAACAACAAATGACTGAATTCTATAGCAAACAGTACAAATATGTATTTCCGAGGCAGAAAATGTATCACACTTGTTACATTGAGATTTGATAAGAACATTACAAGAAGAAAAAGAAATTTAACTACAGGTCTCACAGTTTACATCTTCATTAAATCAAATACGGTATTTCATAGAATGTAAGACTCCTCAATCATAAAATACACCCACATTTTAAGTACCACTCCAATAGGAAAATAAAACAACCATCCTTGTCATCCCTGTCAATTATAACTAGGCATTATAGTAGGCAACATTGACTACTAGACACATCCTGATTTCATAGATGTTAAAATGTGAAAACAGTGTGTTTTAAAATTGATGTAATGCCCTAAATAATGCATGTAAAAAATGACATAAATAAGGAGTTTAATGATGAGAGGGAAAATTATTAGTCTAATTGATACTTACTTGGCTGGTTTTAATTATTTCACTTCCTTCGCTGCCACTTAAATTAAGATTGACCATTGGCTACAAACCAGTTTAAATTTAGGAATTTTTACTTTAAAAATCTAGGTGTATCGTTCAAATTTCCTCCTTTGCCAAGCTTCTTTATTTTTTTTTAAATATAAAAGTTCCATGATGCCAAAAATCTCTGAAGATGTTTGCCAATGAATTGAATTTAAGTACCTTTGTTCCTGACAGTTTATGCTCATGAAAAGGCAGGAAGTTAAGAAATATAGCCAGCATTTCATATCCCTCTGATACTTCATATTGCCCAGGTTATAGTAGGAGGCCTGGCACCAGTTCTGGGGTTGTCAGTAACTATATTAAAAGCTTCACTTTCCAGAAATTAAGACAAATCATGGCCCTTCCTCCTTTGAATCAAGTCAGTGAAGTAAAAGCATGAGGTGAAGAGTTGGAGGAAAGAAGGGTAACAAGATGACTCTGAGATCAGACATGCGCAGTTTCTATTTGCCAGGTCCTTTGTCTTTAGCGAAGTTTTTAATAATAATGGAATAGCTTCTTACAAGTTTAATTGAGCCTTCACTTTTACAAGGCCCTTCCTCATCTATCATATTTTAAACTCAGTAACCTGTGTGGTAGCAAGGCTGGTGTTCATCTGTGTTTGCAGGTGGAGAATCTGGGTGGTCGAGTGCCACGACTTTTAGTTACAGCTGGTTGGAGGTGGGTGGAGGGACCTGTGGCTGGGCATTCTCTCAGCCCCTCTGTGTGCTGGTTTTGCTGCAATGAGCTCAAGGCACCCTGAGTTTAGGGAAGCCAAGGACTGCACCAAGAAGTGGAAACTATAACAGTAGTAGCAGAAACTGGAGACCTTAAGGTCATGAGGGGTGTGTCAGAGAGAAAACTGTGGTGAAACAAAAAGGAACTGAAGAAGAGAAAGAAAAGTAGTCTCTGCTGGAGAGAAAATCCTGTAAAAGCTCCCACAATCGCAGTATGATGGAAAGTGGTGCATTCGTTCCTAGGTAAGCCATAACCAATTACCACAAACTTGTTGGCTTAAAACAGAAATTTGTTTTCTCACAGTTGTGAAGGCTGAAAGTCTGAAATCAAAGTGTCAGCAAGGTTCTCTTTTAAGGAAACATTTTAAAGTTCTTTAAATCCTGCAACCTTTTGGGGGCTCTATATAGTTCAATCATTATATCTTCTAAGGGAAGAAAAATAATACAGTGGCAGGTGGGAAATTATTACATATAAGTACGTTTCACTGTAGTGATTTTTATTTCAAGTATATTTTCTTAGAGTTTCAGGTTTGATTCTCTTGTATGTGCTTTAATATCAGTAACTATGGCAACAAGATTTTAAATGCTGTCTGTAGTATAAGTAAAGGGAAAAATGGAGAGAATAAAACCTTAAAAGAACAAAAAAAAAAAAAGTGTCAGCAAGGTTATTCTCTCTCTGAAAGTTCTAAGGGAAGAATCTTCCCTGGCCTCTTTCTCGTGGTTCCCATCAAACCCTGGCATTCCTTGACTGGTAGCTACATCATTGCATGCTCTGCTTCTGTTTTCACGTGGCTGTCTTTTCCCTGTGAGTCTTCTCTGTTCTCTTAAGGACCCCAGTCATTGGCTTTAGGATTTATGGCTCACCCTTATCCAGTATGACCTCACGTTTACTAATTATATCTGCAGAGACCCTATTTCCAGATAAAGGATACATTCTGATATGAAATTTCAGATACTGAAGTGAAATTTGAGGGGGATACTATTCAAGTGACTACAAGTAGAAACCACTCTGAGGCTGGTTTCCCTCAGTGATCATTCTGAGGGTTTATACATTAAAGTAGTAACAATATCCAAGTGCCTGCTCATCTTCCAGGTGACCCAGTACCTCCCATGGAAAGCATTCTAGTGGACCTCAAATAAAATGAAGAGGTGGAATAAGGCTTCAGTGGCCCTATTGCTGATTTCCTCCTATGTCTTGAGATGGCCAAGGTCAGGTCTTGGCTTCTAATGGCGATTTTTTGGCTTTCATGCTGCTCTGCAGCTACCTAAAGTCTCATTTTTTTTTAAGTCTAATTTTTATTAAACTGGAATCTGGTTGGCCTATCTTGTTCACCACCATTATGCTAGGTAGAGCTCCCAGAGGGGAATGAAATTAGTACATGTGGAGGGCACACAGTCTAGGTACTTTTTGTGTATATTATCTCATTTACCAGAACCATCTTCTGTGGTGGATATTATCATTAGTAACTTTTGCAAGGAGGAAAATGAGACTCAGAAACGTTAAGTAACTTGCCCAAAGTAACCCAGTTAGTAGATAAGTGAGTTGAGATTTGAACATGGGTCTGTCTGACTCTGCAGCCACGTTTCCTCTCTAGAGGACTGTAGTATAATTTACTATCCGTGTTATGCATGGACACTCCTGGAAGTATCCTGGGAGGAAAGCTCTGCATCAGTGTCCCTGCTAGAAAAGTCAAAGCATGAACAATGTGGGTCAGTTCACTGGCGTCTGCTTCTCCCTCCAGATCTTCTGACTCTTGTGCACCAGCTTTTACGGCCACAACTCAGTCCTCTTGAATTTAAGTGTTTTGAAGTAGGACAACGCTAATTTTTTAAATGTCAGTCAAGTATCCATAGAAATGAAAAATGGCCACATTTGGATCTTAAAATTAAAAAGATGTATCAAATTAGTTTTCTAGAAAGTCATAAGAAGCCCATTCTACCTTAACTCCAGAAATTTTAAATTATAAGAAACTAAACTCTTGGAAAATCGACATGAGTGAGATACTAGCCCTTAAGAGTTGGAAAATTCCATGGTTATTGTTTTTTTTCCTGAGGTTCACTCAGGTTTTTCCTGAGGTTTCTGATCCCTATACATTTCAGTCTCAAAATTATAATTAGTAATAATTAGTAATTATCATATATTGAGTGCCTGTTGCATATTTTAAAAATATTGTGAAGTATTTCTTAAACAAGGTGATTGATTAACCCCATTAAATATTGAAGAAACAGAGACTCGGTAAAGTTAAGAGATGTACCTAAAACCACATAAAGCCAAAGGGGTGGACACATGATTTGAATTCTGTTTGATTGCAAAGTTCATGCTCTTTTTACCAGAAACCAATATACTGCATACTGGTGTAAATCCATGGCCATTAATTTTATCCCTAGCTTTTCCTTATTTCTGTGAGCCAAGCTTGGATAGCAAAAAGGGACACTTCCATTTAAGGGTTTTTTTGTATTGAAAAAACCTTATTTCATTTACACTTGAGGTACATAAAGAAGATTTAAATATTATTAATTAAAAATAATTGTAGAGAGGGCAGAAAGCAGAAGCAAGAAGAACTACAATCCTGCAGCTTATGGAACAAAAACCACATTCACAGAAAGATAGACAAGATGAAAAGGCAAAGGGCTACGTACCAGATGAAGGAACAAGATAAAACCCCCGAAAAACAACTAAATGAAATGGAGATAGGCAACCTTCCAGAAAAAGAATTCAGAATAATGACAGTGAAGATGATCCAGGACCTCGGAAAAGAATGGAGGCAAAGATTGAGAAGATGCAAGAAATGTTTAACAAAGATCTAGAAGAATTAAGGAGCAAACAAACAGATGAACAATACAATAACTGAAATGAAAACTACACTAGAAGGAATCAATAGCAGAATAACTGAGGCAGAAGAACGGATAAGTGAACTGGAAGACAGAATGGTGGAATTTACTGCTGTGGAACAGGATAAAGAAAAAAGAATGAAAAGAAAGGAAGACAGCCTAAGAGACCTCTGGGACAACATTAAACGCAACAACATTCACGTTATAGGGGTCCCAGAACTAGAAGAGAGAGAGAAAGGACCGGAGAAAATATTTGAAGAAATTATAGTTGAAAACTTCCCTAACGTGGAAAAGGAAATAGCCACCAAGTCCAGGAAGCGCAGAGAGTCCCGTATAGGATAAACCCAGGGAGAAACACGCCGAGACACATAGTAATCAAATAGGCAAAAATTAAAGACAAAGAAAAATTATTGAAAGCAGCAAGGGAAAAACGACAAATAACACACAAGGGAACTCCCATAAGGTTAACAGCCGATTTCTTAGCAGAAACTCTACAATCCAGAAGGGAGTGGCATGA